AAGTAACGAGGATACCAGTGAATTTGACACTTTAGACATAGTGCATAGTGTTAATCGTTACAACCCACATAATGGTATTTATGACTTGCAAAAAGAAAATAGACAGGTCAAAGTTTTGAGTAAAATTCTTGTTTATTGTCATTATGGCTGGCAAAAGAGTAACCGTATTGATACCAATGTTAAATTATATTTTAATATGAGACGTGAAATAATAGCTAATGATAATGTTTTTTATTACTATTAAAAAATAATAATTCCAAATAGCCTGAGACCTTTAATCTTGAAATTTCTTTATGAAAGTCATTTAGGAATAACCAAAACAAGGATGAGAGCTATAAAAATATTTTTTTTTTTTTTTTTTGCCAGGAATGCTGAATGAGATAGAACAATTTATATTGAGGTGCAAAACTTATGAAACGTTTAGGAGCGCTAACAAAAAAAATACATTGTTGTTACATGAAATTCCAGAGCTGCCGTTTGAAAAGATAGCTGCTGACATTATGACTTATAATTTAACTTACTACATAGTTGTAGTGGATTACTGGTCAAAATGGCTAGAAATAAGGTCAATCAAAAATAAAACAGGAACAGCAGTGATAGCAAAATTTAAAAAATATTTAGTTACCATGGTATACCCAAAACACTTATTGCAGACAATATGCCATTTAATTCTTCAGAGTTTATAAATTTTTCGAAAAAATGAAATCTTGTAGTGAAAACTTCTAGCCCAGAATACCCAAGAAGTAATGGATTAGCCGAAAAGGCAGTCCATATCTCAAAACAATTGTTGAGAAAATGCCAAAGTGAGAGAGTAGACTTGGAAACAGCTCTGGTAGAATATCGCTGCACTCCCATGATTGGACTTAAGAAATAGAATCAGAAATATTAAGTTCAATATTAAGTTCAGGTAGAAAGAGATCTATATTATGAATTTCTTGTTGGACGCCATGAACCACCTCCATAAAAAAAAAATACGTAAAAGCTTCAGACCACATTTTAAATTTAGTTCAATATTTCAGATACCGTAATATTATTGAGTATTTAAGAGGTTTAGCTCATAATTTTGTAAGGGACCATTAATAAAAAAAAATATAATATTCACTGTTTTCACAATTTCTGCAAAAAATAAAAATTCACAAACCTAATTAAAGTTAAATAATAACCAAGGATAAAAACATACTTATTTTATAGATTAAATTGGATATCCTTTATTGCCGAGAATGAAGATTCCTGTAGATACCTACATTAAACAATTTGTCTAAATATTAAATTTCTTATTTAATAAATACCTATTTCTAGAGTAGGTAGTCACAAACATAATATATACCTACTTTAATATTAGTGGCAATAACTAATAGGCGACATGATGAATTAACCTAGCCTTAGAATTATATAGCAAAAACCTAAAGAAGTTAGCCTCTTTTAAAGATCTTAATAACACCTAATTACATAAGTAAATAGGTAATAATATTGTAGTGTATTACTATATGCCACATGGTCATAAATTATGAATATCCGAATAAAAATTATAGAAATATCAAATATGTTACTTATCATACCCAATAATTATAAGTTCCAATCTAATTCTAAAGATGAGTATGGGGAGCTTAAAAGGTCATTAAAATAACTCCAAATTAATATTGTATTTATATCGAATATCGATGGTATATTGGTATTAAAAAGGAACAAAATCATGTGGCTTGAATTTTGAGTTACTTCATTTATACCTATTTGCACGAACTACGATATACAGGACTGAACACTATAGGGCGGAGTGGGTGGGTGATACGTTCAGAAAATCTTGCTCGTCGGTGAATTTGTGAATAAAGCGCCATCTATTAACATCAGTAGTAACTACTACAAAGTTCTACATTTATTTTTAGAATAAAATACAATTATGACCTAGATTTTAGAGTACATTTTACCAGTCATCTTACTACATCTTAGTTAATGTATCTAAGCTGCTTAGTATATTATTTAGTAAAATATTTTAAAATTATAATATATTATTTACAATGGGTCGATTAGGTCAGGGGCGGATCCAGGGGCGGGTTGATCGGGGCGATCGCCCCCCCCCCGTTCTCTCTAAAAAAAAAAAAACCATGTGTGTTACCAGTACGCGCGCGGGAAGTTAAACTTCTTTTGAATGGTACACGTGAGTGAGTGAAAAAGAAAGAAAAAAATATTAATTAATTTAAAAATTGAGAATAAGTATCCGGAGTTATTTATTATTGATAGTTTTATTATTTTTTTTATATTTTTATTCGACTGATCGATGGATAATTGTTTGTAGTATTGTTTTTATCCAGACAATAGATTTGTGAGTGAATACTAATAATAATAATAAAAATAAATAATAATCGATCATTTATTATTCATATTAATTAGTATGGCCCGATTATAATATATAATACTAGCTGATCCCGTGCACTTCGTCGCCCTTTAAATGTATCAACTCAATATGAGTTATGACTCAAACTTTGTTCAATTCGTTATTCAATATTCGGTGTATGGTGTTCAAAATTTATCTTATCTTTTCCGTTGCCCGGAATAAAAATTCTGAATCGCAGCAGTACATTATCAGGTAGGCAATCTACCTGCGGTAGATCGCGGACCCCGTGCTGTTTGTACGGAAGTGTATGATTTAACTCTAAATTATCAAAGTTATACCAAGTTTATTTTGATATAATACGATGGATTAATATAACAAATTTGGTTGCTCGTAAAAAATCACAACTCTTAAAAAAATTATGATTGTTGAACTCCTTTTGGGTGTAAGTGCAACTCAGCCACCCTGGTAGGCAATGTTCAATAATTTGATTTTATGCAAGCTTGTACCTGATCTGCCCGAATAACAAATGGCAACCAATAAATAAATGCTAATTTCTAATGTAGACTGTAACCAATGGCAACTGTTAATAAATAAAAATAAAATTTCCAATTTCCATCTTGAATCTCAATGTCGCTGTTTGAGCTCCTATTTAAAATGCGAATTTCGAAAAATCCTTTCTTAGCGCACGTCTACATCATAATAGCTATCTGTATGCCAAATTTCAGCCAGATCCGTTCAATGGTTTGAGCTGTGCGTTGATAGCAGTCAATCAGCTTACTGTTTTATATATACAGATATATATATATATATATATATATATTATAATATATAATAAAACAACATTACCATGACAATATTTATTTATTTACGGACATGTACGCTTTCGCGTTCGTACGGCCACCCGTTCGTACGCGCCGCTTTTCGCTTTTTTTTTCCTCACTACCGTGCGTAAAGAAGTATAACTTCAAAATAAAAAAACACACTTCATTGTAAAATCAATACATTCATCGTTCATTCAGAATATAAAAGTTTACTTAAACGGAATATTATAATACATAAACTTCTATTCGAATATGATGAACATCCAGGATCATTTAAGTCATAAACATATCTATCGTTCAAAGTATTTTGGGTTTCTTCAATATCAACAGTTTAAAGTAAGATTTATGTTTCTATTTAAATTTCATATTTTGTTTTTCAACCGCTTGATTGATTGATCTGAAAATTTTTCTTTTTGAAATTTTTAACGTCTCCTATAGTGGCATTTGAAAAGTCTCTCTGTCGATAAATTTCTATACATACACTCTCAATTGTTATGTATTTAAAGGGGTCAATTATGCACAAGTCCAAAAATTGTTGTCTAAGTTCTAAACATCCTCTTTATAGTATGTGTTCTGAATTAGAATATTCTTCCAACTCTTATTTGAAATTAAATGTATAATTTTGATTTGTCGTTTCGTCATGCCAATTTATAAAAGCTGTTCTTTGTTTCACTATCATCTAATTATAGACGTAATATGATTTGTTTGGTAAAGGTGCTATATAACTTTGATTTTCTGGAGTATTGACAAAACGTAGAAAGTATCCTTTTTTTGCTGCTATAAGTCGAAATGTTTTTGGAAAGTCAGCTAGCTTAAACTGTACAAAGTTATGGCTATCGATTGGTATGTGCGTTCCTGTATTTTTTTGTGCTTCGTAATCGAAAAATATATAAGTCGGTGTGAACGTACAGCCTTTTCGTTTTACTGAGGATTGTTCGTTACAAACACAGGCTTCCACACATTATTCTCCTTTCTTATTTTCCGTTGCATAAAATATTCATGTTGACATCATTTATATTTTCTTGTTTACAATTATGACATTTACCATATCCGCAAACGCTATTGTGCGTGTCGTCATTTCTCTTTACGATTAAATTACATTCACCCTATTTATATTCTGTATCGCAAACTTTTTTAAGTTTTCTTAAACATTCAACATCAACACGCACTAATAGTCGCACACTTGACAAAATTTTTTTTCTTTTCTGAATTTTTGGATATGATATTCTTCGTTTATAGCAGTTTATAGTATTTTATCATACTTTTACATAATTAATTTTTTCCGGTCTCATCCAACAATTGAACACACAATTATCGTCGGTGTTTTCAAATGTTATATCATCTGAAAAATATTAAATATTATAATACTCTATTATAAACAAATATAATATAATTCTTACTTATAGCTACAGGTGGTGTTGGTACTACAGGTACTGCTGCTGTTCATTAATGTTTAACATACCTAAAATGGAACAATACTATACTATTTCAAACTTGAACACCGATATCACTATAACAATTTATTGTGTACTTAATTTCATTAAATAATTGAATTTTTTTTTCGTAATATCGTAGAATGGGTGCATTACAACCATGCATATACGATTGCATATACTAAACTCCTTAAATACGATCAAAATGCTTTAATGATAAAAGTTAATAAAATCGTTATTTCGTTTATTTACATGCCAGTGTCCGCATTATCTGATAACTATAGGACGATAAAAGTAAACGCAAAACGCGAGAAACAGAAACTGAATGCGAACGTTGGCTATCAGTAGCCGTAGTGTCAAGTCGTCCGTAGTACTCCGTTACTCCGTAATCGCGCGTGTTTTTAATTAAATTCAATGCATTCCAATAATAAAAATACTTCACCTCGAGACCTCAACCTTCCTGACACTTCAAAGAAAAGAACTAGCAGTGCCGCTCTTACACCTCCTCACAATAGCAAAAATAGATTCTCTCCACTTTTAAATCTACAAGACACCGGTGAAACGAACAATACCACAGAAAACGACAGTACTCAGCAACCACAGGTCAGACCTAAAATTCCACCTATATATGTTTATAATATTTCCGATTACGAAAACTTTCATACTTCTTTAGATAATATAACATTTGACAATTTCTCCATTGTTTGACAATTTCTCCATTGTTAACACAAAATCTGCCCTAAAAATTAACTTAAACTCGATTGATGACTATAGAACCGCAACTAAACATTTCGACGAGACCGAAATTGAATACCACACATATCAGCTTCCTGAAAATAAACAACTTTCGGTAGTCATTAGAAATCTACCTGTTAACATAACGGAAGCTTGTATTTACAATGAACTTCAAGAACTCAAATTGAAGTCGCTTCAGTCACACGCCTTCAAAACCAGTTCAAATCGCCAATTCCAATCGTAGCAGTTTTATTATCAAAATCATCAACTGAAATATTTTCTTTAAATAGACTTCTACATTGTATAGTTATAGTTGAACCACGCAAGCCCTCCAAGGACATCCCACAATGCACAAATTGTCAAAGATTTTCCCACACCAAAAAGTTTTGCCATTTACCATCAAGGTGTGTCAAATGCGCGGGTGACCATCACTACAGTCAATGTCAGAAACCAACAGACGTTCCTCCAAAATGTGTTAACTGTAATAGTGATCACCCAGCTAATTATAGAGGGTGCACTTTTTACAAAGAAATATCAAGAACCAAAAATAAAAATAAAACTAGTACAAATCCGTCCCATGGAAAAAATCACACAAACACAATACCTCACGCAAATACTCAAAACACACATTCAAACCAAGATAACACTAATATGCATTACACATATGCCTCCGCGTGCAATAGTAATAGTAATAACAATAATTATAGAGGCAAATCAGCCAAATCCACAGATAACGATAATGATTTTATGAAAACTCTTTTACCACTAATTAACACATTTGTTACCCAATTAATGCAGAAAATAATACAAAACCTGCCAGTCATCATTAACAGCTTAAACTTAAACACCAATGGAGCTCCATAATACTATATTATTAAACTGGAATGCTAACGGTCTTAAAAATCAAAGAAATACATTACTAGCTTTTCTTAATCATCACAACATACATATCGCATGCATTACTGAAACGCATTTGTCGCATACAGATAAAATTAAATTCCCTGGTTACAAAATTTACCGCGCTGATCGTATTACACAATCTCGCGCCATGGGCGGAGTGGCTATTCTAGTACGGAACCAAATCAAACAACAACAATTGCCTACACTCGTTCTGTCGTACCTAGAAGCCGTAGCAGTTTCCATTAACATTAACAATAAGTATATAACGTTCGTCAGTGCGTATCAACCTCCTAGTCGCCAAAAGCTTATCGCAGACATTGAAATAATCATGAACTTAGATAACTCAGTTATAATTGCGGGCGATTTAAATTCTAAACACATTAACTGGGGATGCCGTGTTACAAATCCAAATGGCTCTAAATTACAAGCATTCATAGGAAACACACCTTTTACAATATCAGCTCCAAATACACCTACCTACTTCCCAACAGATTTAAACCGTTTGCCCGACATATTAGACATTTTAATAATTAAATCTGTCCCATTTGTATGCGTGCACGAACCTCTCATCGAACTCGACTCGGATCACATACCTGTTAAAATAACGATTAACTCACCCTCTCTTTTTCGCTGTACAAATAACTCATTAATTAAAGGAAAACCAGACTGGATTAGATTCTCTAACCATGTACAATCTAATCTGAAAATACCAACATGTGTACCTACCATTCAAATAGCAGAACAAACAGCTGATCATCTGACGGGCGTCATAATAGAAGCCGCTCAGTCCTGTTCTAACTCCGTACCGCAAAATATACACAGTCCTGGCATCCTACCACACTCCATATCTTCACTTATTCGTCGTAAACATTTAGCCAGGCGCACCTGGCAAAACCATAGGAACCCTGCAGATAAAAAAATACTAAACCTACTCACCAAAGAAGTCCAAGCAGCTTTACAAAATTACCGTGTAGCCTCATACAATAGTTACCTGTCTAACATGCGACCGGGTGAATCAAATTTGTGGAAAGCAACAAAAAGGCTACTAAACCAAGCTACCAACACCATTCCTCCTCTTCGCACTGATGCAAAACTTGTTATATCCGATCAAGAAAAATGTGATGTTTTTTCAAACATGCTGTACAATACCTTTTCTCCCAACCATATCTGTAATCCAAGCAATGACCTAAGAGTAAAACACACCTTAGAACTACCAAATTATGAAGTCCAAAATTCCATAAATTACGTAACGCCAAATGAAATCAAACAAATTATTAATAATCTCCCGATCAAAAAATCACCGGGTCACGACAAAATTACAAACCTTATGCTAAAAAAATTACCACCGAAAGGACTAGTGTTTATGACCACATTATTTAACTCTTTACTGCGTCTTGGCCACTTTCCGCCCAAATGGAAAGTTGCAAACATAATACTAATAAAGAAACCTGGAAAGGACAAATCCATTCCTGACAGCTACAGGCCAATCAGCCTCTTATCTTCAATTTCAAAATTGTTTGAAAAAATCATTCACACTAGACTTCTTTTCTACTTAAATGCCATAGATATTATACCTAAATTCCAATTCGGGTTTAGATCAAATCATTCTACGGTTCAACAATTACTTAGAATAACTGAACACATTAATACTGCATTTGAAAAACATTGTCATACGGGAGCTGTATTTATAGATATTTCCAAAGCATTTGATAAAGTATGGCACGAGGGCCTACTTTTTAAACTAAAATCCATTAGTACTCCATCTTACTTATTCAATATTATTAATTCATTTTTACTTAACAGGCAGTTCGCTGTTAAAATAAATGATAACACCTCAGACCTCATGCCTATATCTGCTGGTGTACCTCAGGGCTCTAAGCTTGGTCCCATACTATTTAACATCTACGTATACGATATCCCCCAGTCACCTCGTACGAATATTGCCCTCTTCGCTGATGATACTACAATATTCACCGAATCACGTAACATTGAAGCATTAACCACAAATCTGCAAGCACATCTTGATGTAATATCTTATTGGTGTAAAAAATGGCGTATTCAAATAAATGCGTCAAAAAGCACAGGAGTTATTTTCAGTCTTCGTCCTTACCACTTCCCTGAACAATTAACATTTAACAATGTAAATATACCATGGAGCTCGACAGTTAAATACCTCGGTTTGACATTGGATAAACGGCTAACATGGCAGCCCCATATCTCTTCCAAACTTCAACAGGCATATCAGCGCCTTTCTATGTTATACCCTATTCTCAATAAAAAATCTCCATTACAGAAAAAATGCTCTCTTCTTATATTTAAACAAATTCTACGTCCACTTCTCACTTATGCGTGTCCGGTCTGGGGGAAATGCGCGACCACTCACATCAATAAAATTCAAATTTTTCAAAATAAAGTGCTACGTATTATTTCCAACGCGCCTTGGTTTATAAGGAACGTAAACCTACACAAAGACCTTCAGATCCAGGAAATCACAGACTTCATTAAAACCTCATCAAAAAACTTCCATACCGCACTGCTCAGCTCTCCTGGCTCACTTCATTATCAGCTCCATGTACATCCACCTCAACGCAGACTAAAACGTGGACGTCCACATGACCTTCTGGTTTAAACAGCTCCATATACAGCAGCTGTTGCTACTCGTAGCGTCAACTTAAGTTATACAACTTGCCATTTATTATCTGTTATACCTTTATATTGCTATTATTATTGTTAATATTATTATTATTAAGTATTATTATTATTATTAAGTATTATTATTATTATCATTTTTATTATAATTACTTAATTAACTTATCATATTCAAAATGTTAAAACGCAACTTATAATTAATATCAATAGATGTAGATAGCCATGGCTAGGAACATCTTATATTATAATAAAAAAAAAAAAAAAAAAAAAAAAAAAACTAGTCATATAAATTTATTAATTAATTTTTTTTTCTTATACAAACTTAATATGGTACGACTATGAGAGAAGTTCCACCCGCGTACCATAATATTAAATATTAAATTCAATTTACTCACCATGAATACTTTTGATGCAACGTTTGACACCATTCGTTTCTGGTAAGTAAATTACCACAAATAATACACTTAAATGATTTAATGCTATTATGACGCTTTAAATGCCTGGTTAAAGTGTTTTTTCGTGAGAATGGCCCGTTCGCTTTTTTTCCCTCACTACCGTGCGTAAAGAAGTATAACTTCAAAAAAAATTCATATCCATATAAAATTGTTGAGAATACCCGTAAATTGTTTAAGCGCCCGTCGCTGGTTACCGATCAATGACCATAGATAATAGATATAATAACATGTTTTTGACGTTATCAAGAAATTGCATGGTTTGATTAGATTAAATCGAAAAGGGGTCTATTTTTAGCTGATTTCTGTTGAAACTCCAGCAAATGTCCTTGTCTGCTATCAGTACTATCGCCTATCATGTAATCAACTAGATGATTCACAATTTTTCGTTTAGTGTAAAACGAGCACACGACTGAAATCACCATCGTGTTTTATTATTATATATTATATTATTATGTTATAATTAAAATATTGTCAAATGGATAAAAGAAAAAATTCTCTTTACAGTTACTTCAGTAAAAAATTACGTACTGAAAATAAAGTAAGTATTATTAATCTACTACAGAATTATTAATATTAATATTAACTTTTTACATTAATATTTAATACAGTAGGTACTATTATCTTAATTTATAATATTTTGTTTAGAATCTACACAAACTATTATAATTATAAATGAGTTTACTAAATAGGTACCTATCATTTGCTATTAATTTGTAAAAAATAATTAAAACAACTTAATATAAACAGTTTACAAAGATATTGGATTAATTCAAATACCTATACCTATTAGTTAATACCTACTCACTACATATAAATTAAAATAAAATTCCACTCATATTTCACAATAACATTATTGAATTTTTATTTTCTTACAGTCCATAAATTATGATAATTCAAAAGTTAGTAAATCAGATGACCGAAAAGAACATAATAGTTGTGTAACTGAAAATTCTAATTTGGCTGACTCAAATTTAGACAAGGTATGTTTTTAATTTATGATAAATTAGTTAGGTAGGTAGGCACTTCATAGATACAAATCATGTAAAATAACATTTTGAATTATTGAATTATGGACAAATATTTGAGTATTATAAATTATTAAATAGGTATACTATGAAATATTTGTATTTTTAAAGTAATATGATGTTTGTTTCAATTTCAGCAGATGACAAATATTTTTGGTGATATGTATGATATTAGTTCATATTTAAAAAATAATATCACTATTGATGAAAATACAAAATATAAACTGTTAACACAACATTGGAAGCCTCCAAAAAATTTTGATTTCCCTTACTCCAAACATATTAAAAAGGGAAAAGAAGAAAAACGCTTTTTAAGAGTTAATCATTTGGAGACATATTCTTGGCTTGTATATTCTAAAGAGTCAAAATTTTTATATTGTTTAAATATTTTTGTTCACACAAATATTGGGTGTGGCAACAAAAATCACATGCCATTGAAGACTTTGGTAACTGAACCACTTATTCATTTTGCAAAGTTATTAGGAAAACAAGGTAATTTAGAAACTCATGGAAAAAATCAATATCATATCAAAGCTATTCAAGATGGACAAAATTTTATAAAAAGTTTTAGTAATCCAAAAACGGATATAATTAACCAACTAGATAGCCTTCGCCTGAAAATAGTCAAAGAAAACCGAGAACGATTAAAACCCATAATTAAAACAATTATTTTTTTGGGAAAACAAAATATACCAATTTGAGGTTATAGAGACGATGGGTCTATTTTTGATAACCCTGATAAACCATTGGGTAATGAGGGTAACTTTAGAGAATTACTTAAATTTCGTATGGAATCTGGTGACTTATTACTCAAATCACACTTTGAATAAACAGGAGCAAACGCAACTTACATTAGCAAAACCACTCAAAACGAATTAATATTTATTATAGGTGATTTAATCCTTCAAAAAATACTGACAGATGTAAATAACAGTCCTTTTTTTAGTATCGTGTTTGACGAAACTACTGATATGGCACACATTTCACAACTTGTATATTTAGTTATTCGGTATATCAAAGACAAAATTATTCGTGAAGACTTTATTGGTTTTATTAATGTCCATAGAGAAAATTTTAATTCAAATGATGACGAGCCAAAAATGAGTGGAACTTTAATTGGTGATACAGTTTTAAATATTCTTAAAAAATGTTCACTAAATCTAGATAATTGTATTGGTATATCTACTGATAGTTGTGCTACAATGGTTGGTTTAGAACGAGGAGCTGTTACAACTTTACAAAATGATTTAAAATTTGCTGTCAAGTGCCCATGTTTTAACCATGCACTAAATAATTCTTTGATAAAAGGATGTAAAGTACAGAGTATCCAAAACACATTTGGAACTATTTCTGAAGTTGTAGCATTTTTCAATTCATCTGCTAAACGCACTTTTGTTTTGAATAAATATTTGGGACATTCTTTGTATTCACTATGTCAAACTAGATGGGCAGAAAAACATGACTTCATACTTCAGTTTTCTACATCTTTGGTAAAAATTGTAAAATCATTGGATTGTATTTCTGAGTGGTCTGACACTGTAACATCTTCAAAAGCTCATAATCTTTCAAAGTCCTTAACATGCTGTGAATTTATTGTATCTTTGCATTCAATATCTAATATATTTTCTGTTACTTCACCCATTAGTCGCTAATTGCAATCCAAAAATCAAGATAAACCCTCTGCAACTAATATCATACAATGTGTTTTATCAACATTAAAAACAAAACGTCAAAATAGCATTGATGTTTTTGCTGAAATATTTGAAATATGTAAAAGTAATTTTGATGAATTGAATATTTCAATTACCTTACCTAGACTAGGTAATAAAATGTTGAACAGAGCAAATCCAAAAGTTAAAAGCCCTGATGAGTTTTATCGAATTGCCATTTTTTTACCATTTATTGACAATATAAAATGTGATTTAGCTAACCGATTCAGCAAAGAAGTTGTTGAAATATTTGATCTTGATTTGTTTCTGCCTAATGTTATAGCAAAAGTATTTCTCGACAAATATATTCTTGGCAATAAAGTACAACATATTATGGACAAATTTGGAGAAATTTTAATTAAACATTTGTCTTATTCAAAAGATAGTATTAACATTAAATTGGCAGGAGAAATAGAATTATGGCATGAGTTTTGGATAAATAAAAATAAAATTGAGTCTGGTGATATTCCTAAAACAGCTATTGATTTACTTGAGTATTGTGAAGAATTATTATATCCATGCATTTCAATTTTGATACAAATATTATCTGTGTTACCCGCAAGCACATCATCTGCTGAACGTTTTTTTTCTTCTCTTCGGCGGTTAAAAACATGTACAAGAACAATAATGGGAGAAGATAGATTAAATGGTCTTGCTTTAATTCACACTTATAAAGATGTAAAAATTGATATTGAAGATGTAATTAATATTTTTTCTAAGTCATCAAGAAAATTAAATGTTGTGTTATAAAAATGTACTATCTATACAATATATATAATATATAAGTAATATGTTATATGTATATGTATATAAATTATAAAATAAGAAAAAAAAATTATGTGTATATTAATTATTAATTTTTGGAAGCAGCCCCTATATTTACGTCTATGAAATACTACTGCCCCCCCCGTTATTTTTGGCTGGATCCGCCCCTGGATTATGTAGCATTATAAATTGTTCAACTCGCAATTCCAAAGTGACACCTGAACGTGTAACATTATTTTCAGTACCAAAAGATGACTACTTAAAATCTCAGTGGATTAATGTAGTTTGTGCGGGTAACAACAGAGAAACTAATGTCAAATTTGTATGTGCCAAACATTTTAAAACTGAAGACATTAAAAGGACATAGGTATTATGGCTCTAAAAACTTAGGCTCTGAGATAAACAATGCTGATGTAGAGTAGTATAACAATTTGATACATTCAATAATTACTGTTTCTATAATTAAATAATAAAAAAAAAAAAATAACTTTAATCTATACTTATAGGAAATTGATTAACAAATTACTTGTATGTAATTATTTAACACAATTACTTAATACTTATTTCTAGTCTTGGGCTCTACGTTCACGGCCAGAACTGAATTTTGGAGCAGTTCCTTCTATTTTTGAAACTTCACCCTGTCGGCTGTCACACCTCAAAATTATCATCAAATGTAGCTTTGTGTAGATATCCAGAAGGAAATGTTGAAATTGTTAGTATCTGATTTTTCATTTTTGCTAAAACTGTATATAGGTATAACCACATGAGAACACATATGTTCATATAATAATTGTGGTGTCATTAATTAATTAAACAAATTTACTTTAGGAAATATTTGAAGATTTTGTTAAAATAGTTCCTACAATCGATTTGCCTGTTGGTTGGACACATCATTTAGAACATAATGTTGTGGCATTTTGTTTTTTAAAATCATATATGAGTCAAAATCTTTTGATGATGATTGAAAAACAAATTTTAATTAAGATTGATTGAAGTGTAAAATATTACTTCACTAATAGAGAACTAGACATATCACATTTCACTTTCTTAACCAAACATTTTCCAACAAACAAATCAGACATTGAGCACTCTATATTAAAATTTAGCCAAATGTCAACATGCATTGGTGGACCATCAGTTGACGATTATGCAGGTAACAAAACATGTACTTACCTAGGTATAATAGTTTAAAATATTTGATTTGTATTAATTTAAACTATTATTGAATTTATTAGGAATTAGAATAAAATACGCAACATTAGATCCAGACAATGTCTGGCGTAGTCTTAAATGTGAACTCCATACTGATAATATGTTTAAGCAAAGATGTAAATTGTGTGTACGGCTAATGAATATTTCAAGAGCTATGAAATCTAATATTCAATTATCGTTGAAATTAAACAGAAAAAAGAGATTAGGTCCAACATTAACACCTACAAGAACTGAGACTCCTAAACACTTATTTAAAACTAAACATAACACACAGAAATCTAATTTGAGGTAACATTATTTTTTATTATTTTGAAAATAATAAACTTGTGTATATACTATTTATCTTTAAACACATTCATGGAATCATGAATTATAAAAATTATTGTTTATCAGGAAAGATAGCATTATTCAAACTTTGAAATTAAAATTTAATGAACTAAAAAGTAAAATGGAATTAGTGTCAAATTCTTATGTGGATGATTTGCATAAAAGTATGAATGTAAATGAATCACAGTGTTTTGATTAAAGAGATTATTAATTGTAGTAAAGTAAAAAATGTAAAAGGACGTCGTTATTCAGAAGATTGGTTGTTATTAATTATTAGGTATGTATGCTGCTTTATATAAGGTAGGTATAAGATAAATTTGAAATATAAATAAGTATTTTATGATTTTATTCATTAACTACTTTACTTCTTTATTTATATAGATAGGTATCTAGGTATTGCATGTTTATTTAATTAATATGTTCTATAGGTCAACACGTACTTACAAGTTTTTACTTGTCCAGCAGATATTACCATTACCATGAACAAAAACAATTAGAAAATATCTGTCTTTAGTAAAATCTAAATGTGGATTTGATAAAGATTTTTTTCTTCTCTTAAAAAAAAAAAAATCCCTGATGTCAAATTCTGAAAAGCATGGGATGTTAGTATTCGATGAAATATCTCTCAGGGAAAGTATAAGCGTAAATACAAATACTCTTACCTATCAAGGTTTTGAAGATTTTGGAAATGATGTTGAGTATGAAAAATCGGATAAAAAAAGTAACCATGGCTTAGTTTTTCTTTTCCAAAGTTTGTGTGGAAACTTCTCTCAGCCTATCGGAGTATTTGCAGCACACGGAAATGTCAAAGGTATAATAATATTATTAAGCAATTTATTAAAATAATGAAGTTTATTAATATATCAAATACTAATTATATTATACCATTATTATAAATTTAATTTTAGGAACAGTTTTAGCTCAACTTATTATGAAAGCTATTATTTTGCTTGAAAAAAGTGGTGCATTTGTTGATGGGCTTGTTTGTGATGGAGCAGCCACTAATAGAAAAATGTGGACCATTTTTGGAGTTAGTCACATAAATGATAATGTAAAACACTACTTTACTCATCCGTTAATGGATGATTGAAAAGTGTTTGTTTTTTGGATGTTCCACATCTGTTCAAAAATATAAGAAACAGACTTCATGATAAAAAATATTTAAAGGTCTAATTTTGTTTACTATATATTACAGTTTAATTTAATTTTTACAAATACCTACTAATTTTTATTATATTTACCTTTTAGATAAGTCCTGAAAAAAATTATGTAAGTTGGTAAAATTATATTGAATTACATAATTATGACAAAAATCTTCCAGCTATCAAGAGAGTATGTCCTAAATTAACAGATAGACATCTATTACTTGATAGTTTATCAAAAATGTCTGTAAAATTAGCCACCCAGGTAAGTATAGTACTAACTTTTCATTTGATTTTCTAAACAATTTTTTATTTTTGCAGGTATTCAGCGACTCAGTTTCTGACGGACTTAAGTTTTATAGGGAGCATCAAAAGATAACTTGTCTTCAAGGAAGTCAAGAAACTGAGCAGTTCACCAGAAAAATAAATAGAGCATTTGATGCCTTAAACAGAAAGTATCCGGCTGAAGGGATCAGGAAAAATAGTGCTGATATTGAGGTTTGAATTAATAAATATATATATTGTATTATATATAAAGTACAACTTTAAAATATTTTTTTAGGTATTAAAAGAAACTTTGATATGGATTGATGACTGGGAACAATGTGTAATCGATGGTAAAATTACTAATGAAGAATTTTTAACCAAAACTACAGTAGAAGGTATTAGAGTTTCAATTTCTTCTACTATAGACCTAACACAATATTTGTTAAATTAATGTGAGTTTAAGTATGTTCTTAGCAACAAAATTAATAATTATCGTCTTAAAGTATGTTAACATTCTTTAAAATACCTACTTGTTAACATGTTTGTGACTAAAAATAAGTATTGTTTTATTGTTTTAGCAATTATTTTGTATGATACGACAGGCAACCGGCCCTAATGACCATCCGCCAGCTCCTACGTTTTTGCAGGTTTATATAATGTTATCTACCTATTCAATCCTGAAACCCCCAAAAACTGGTAATTGTAAGATTCACCATTCAACATGCCCCAAAATAACTATATCTGATATATTTCAAAGTGAAGAAAGCCGAAGAATAATTAAGAAGATATATTTAGAGATCATGATTATTCATTAGTAGGTACCAGTTAAAGACTGTGTTACATACTATATATGTGGATAATTTGGTCGTGTGTTCAAAAAACGTACTGCTTGTGATACTTGTCTTTTACCTTTTAGTGAAGGTACCTAAGTATCAAATATTTTATATTTTTTATTAATATTCAGTCTTGAATTACCTATAATAAAATCATATTTTATTATTATTATTTTATATTAACTTTTGGTTTTAATATTATTTTGTACATTTTGTTTTATGCAACCAAGGTAATGCATCTCACGCTCAATCAACATTAACAAACATAAAATCAAGAGGAAATTTAGTTCATCCAAACTCAACAATTTATACACTCATTTCAAATTTAGAAAAGTCATTTGAAAACCACTGTGGGAGTCCAAGTGCCTTTGATGATACTGTTAATGATTTTTTGGAAAATAATAACAATCTCTCCTTTCCATGTAGTGAACATAAAAGTGATATTATGAGTTCTATAATTGTATATTATGTGACCATGAGAATGAGACAATATTCTTGTATGCATAATAGAGAACAGCAACATAAAAGCTCTAAAAAAAAAAAGTTATTCCAAATTGGTGACAAATTGATTGTAAAATAGGTATAGAATAAATTAATAAAAATATAAAATAAACTTGAAAAAAAATTAATAACCGTTGTGACAATTTCAATGAAAAAACTGGGGGTGCTGAAGTCTCTCTATTTTTTATGTTATCTTATGGTAAATGGATACCTGCAACGGCTGTAACCCGTACAATACCCATTCAATAATTACAAATTTAATATTAACTAAGTAAAGCCTAAGAATATGTAAGTGCAAGATAAATATATTATTATTTATTTAAAAATTAATTAATAAGCGCAAAAACTATTACATTATACAAGAACATTTATTTTTATAAAATTGAGTATTGTCAGTATCGATATAAATTAATTGATATTTTTGCTTAAAGTTAGTTCACTCTAACATTATTCTTCTTTCAGTTTGAGCAAAAATACGTATCACTTCTTTTATATCAATTATATTTGTTAAGTCCTTTTCTATATACAATATAGACAAATCTGTCAATCTCTCTTGACCCATTGATACCCTCAGAAAAGTTTTTATTTTTCTTAGGGCCGAAAATGATCGTTCACAAGTAGCTGAACTGATTGGAAGTGTCAAAGCAACCTATAATACAATAAAAATTATTGAATTGTCTAAATTATCATAATGGAACAAAAA